TGTCTGGCGTTAAGAGAACTTTGCCATCAACAGCTGGGTTTTTATGCCTACAGGGTGCTAGTGCTCAAATGGCAGGTGATGCCGCATACTCCCCCTCTCCTTTCAGTGAGTAGTTGCGCGGTTTGTGCTAGTCAGGGAACAGTTAATGAGCTGTAATTGCTGGCAGTGGTTTAGCTTTCCCAGAAGGGAGGTGGAGGACAGGCCACGACTACCGGGCTTTTGGCAGTAATTAAGACTAGTTAGCTGTACTGTGGCTGGAGTCAAGAAGCTGTAATCTGTCCCCCTGAATTCACCTGCAAACCATTTAGAAGTAAATGTGCTGTTTGGAAAAATGCATTAATAATGATAATAGTAGCTATATTTATTCTGATCTTATTCTCTAATTGATTTTTTTATGGTAGCTAATTTAGTAATAGATGTAAGTTGAAGGCGAGTAATTGCAGAGTGATGCTAACTGAAACGCTTTAGCTGAAAGTTACATCTATGCTAATAAAAACTTGATTCCAGGTAGAATTGTAGCTTTGTCTGGGACATTGTCAAATATTGATATTGTTGAACAGAAACTTAAATTTAGCACAGGCTTCAGGTGAAACAGCTCCTTGCAGACAAACATGAGGTGGCTAAGATTTTTTTTAATGGATTATGAATATGAACTTGAAATGCTGCTCAGCATTTAACAGCAATTTTAATAGAAAGGCCCTGACAGAATGATGCTAATAAGAAATGTCTTTGTAAAGAAAAAAAGGATTTAAGTAGGATCCTTGGGCTAGTGTTTGCTATGGTATTTTACATATATATATGTGTGTGTGTATACGTATGTCATGGCACTAAAAGTTTATGCAAATCAAAGTCATTAAAGCCACTTCACTACAAATAATCCCTTGTAGAGCTGGCAAATAGCCAACTTTTTTCTTTTTTTTTTACTTGTTAACATATAGATAATAGCATTTAATGGTTTCCTGATGCATTTAACAATCCAGAACATGCTATTTTTTTTTCTTGTGTGGAGAAGCTATTTAAGCTATTCTAAATGGAGGACTCGGTATTTATAAAAATGTCTAAAGTAGTCTGATTTTCCTTTCTGTAAGTGGGAAGGTTTCTTGGATTTAGTGTAACTCCATTATTGTACTTTTTAGCTAAAGTTGTGTGAAGCTAGTTTGACTGTGCTTTTATTACATCTGAATGATAATTGCATTGTTTTTTTCTGACTGTTTAAGAAATGGATGCGCACAGGGGAAAATTCCTTTTATCTTTTACATTAGAATTTGACTAAATAAATGAAGATCTAATTATGCTCTATATACATCCTCCCCAGATCTCAAAGCTTTTGAAAGAAGACTTACTGAATATATTGCATGTTTGCAGCCAGCTACAGGACGGTGGAGAAGTAAGTTGGATGTTCCAAGGCCTAACTAGGATTCTCTTTCAAGCTTTTTTTTTTTTTTAGATTTACCAGTGTGTATCCTTGATTTATGTTTACCAAAACAGAAACCTATGCTTAAACTCTTTTTAAATACTGTGGCATACGTTCAAACACTCTGCAACAAGATAATGCAAGATACTAAAGTAATATTTTGGGCAAGATTGAATTGTCTCAAGGCTGTATTATTCTGGAAATACTTGGGAAAATAAGTTGTTTTATCGGTTTCTGTTTTGTTTTGTTTTTTTCTTCAATGCTCAGACTTCCCAGAGTCACTCTAGTTACTTGTACTAAATGTGATTGTGTGAGATAGTCCCTATAAAATCGAAGGTGAAAAAGTTATAGTGGTGTGCCATGAGGGCAGAATGTGTCCTCATCCCTGTTGTAACAGGGAAGTTTGAAGGAAGGGGGAAAGGCAAAAGCCACCACAGATGTGCTGCCAACTTTAAGGTCCATGGTGGAAACAGCCTGCTGCTTTGTTGAGAGATTCTGCGCAAGTTTCTTTACTCAGTACAGATGTTTTTTAGGACATAAAAATAGCCTCATTTCTCCGGAGAGGCCAAGAGGTTAATTTCAAATGAGGGACCTGAGGAATGACTACTTGAAAAGCAAAACCAACAAAAAAACCACCCCACCCCAGAACACAATCAACTAAAGACCCCAACCCCCTTGTTTCAGAGGGTTTGAGGAGTAAGCAGATATTTGTAGATCTGCCCAACTTGTGCACACCTGCTGTAGGAAAGCATTTGCCCTCCAGAATTGCTATTTACTGTTAGATGTAATTAAAAAAAAAAAGTACTGGAAACTTGGAAGCATATTTAGATGAGGTTTGCATAACTAGTATTGTGTTCACTAGCTAACTTTTTTTTCCCCCATACTGCTTGTTTTCCTAGTTTTATAATTCACTTAAAAGAGGGACTTTTTACTATAAATATAATGGAGCACTGAATTCAGTGCTAACTTCTCCTTCTGTAATTTGGGAAAAAAATATTTGTGTAGAGAAGCAGTTCTGTGCTTTTGATAGATCTTTTCTAACGTTATTCTGAAAATGTAACTTGTTAGGGTTACTTTTTAATTTTGTTTTTAATTTTGTAGTATTGAGAATGAATATGCAATTCAGTAGTAAATTATAGCAGTCTTAGAGACCTGAAAGTAGTGTTTCATGAGTACCTGGGTTTTATTTTCAGGTTCTTTCCTATGATTCTAAAGGCTGGTAGTGTTTTCTGGTTGGTTTGTTTTGTTTTTTTTTTTCCTGTTTCGCTGATAGAAGACTTAATTTGCACCAAGAACTTCAGGCTCCACGGAAGACACTCAGAACTGCCAAATGTCCAATGAAAGCTGCAAGCTTTATGGGTGTGCAGTAGAACATGAGCTTTCTCTACCTTTGTATTTGTTCTGGTTTCTTTTTCCATCAACCACTGGTGCCCAAACCTTTGTAGTTTCTCAAAATCAGTATCTTGTGTTACTTTAATGTGTGTCTAGCATTACTTGTTTACAGTGAATGTATTATTCTTCCTAAGTCATTCCGGATGTATAAAGGTTTTTGTTAAGCTTCATGTGCTAAAGCTAATGGGCCTTCTGACTCCTGTTTAAATTTTGTGGTTTTTTTCTCTGTGTCAGCTTTCCTTGCTTGTAATTGTTGACGGGGTGGGGAGCATAACGCAACTCAGATGTGCTGCGGAACCTGCTGGTGCTAATGCTTCAGGCTTTTCTTATGTAGAAGATCTAGCAGGACAGAATCTTTAGTTCTGCAATTAAATGGTGCTTGTATTTCTGTTGCATAAGCTCAAACAGCATACTGACCGTTTGACACAACTCTTCCTCCAGTCTTCAATGAATTTTTTTTTCCTGTGTTATTTCAAAAACTCTTGTTTCTTCAAAGCATAGACATAGTTTTACTTGATAGAATTTAGATTTTGGTACCTCCTTCTCCTGTCCAGGAAACTTGTACGGAATCTTTACAGTTTCACGTGATACAAGTTTCTGTGCCTGTTCTCGTTTCTGCCTTCCAAGTAGAAGCTTTTCCTCCCTCAGAAGTGGGAGAAGAAATAAACGCTTAAGAGCTGATAATGGAAAATGAATACTTTTTAATAGGAGTGAAGTGTACTGTTTATGACTCTTGTTCTCTTCTTTATCAGTGATTCTGATAGTGGTATCAGTCTGCACAGCAACTGGTGCTTGGAACTGGTTAATAGACCCGGAGACACAAAAGGTAAAAGATCAGACTAATCCCACATATGCTCTGTTTCATAGCCTGGCGTTGCAGTCAAGTATCTTGAAAATGGAATTGCTAAAGGTGGTTCTCCCATGAGACCAAGAGGTGATTTTTAGTTTAGCTCTCAAGCTTTCTGGAATTGTTGTGGAATATGTACTGGGGCAACGCCTACCAAAAATGCTACACCTGGAAGGCTTGTGTAAAGAACTGTTCACAAGTACCTAGAAATGGCTAGCAGTGGTATTTCCTTCTAAATTAAGTGAAATAGGCAGCAACTTTCTGTATGTTGTGGAAAGTATTTAGTGGGACTAACCTCATTTCTTTCCTAGGTGTCATTTTTCACATCACTTTGGAACCACCCATTTTTCACAATTAGCTGTATTACCTTAATAGGCTTGTTTTTTGCTGGAATACATAAAAGAGTGGTGGCACCATCAATGTATCCTTCAATTGTCGGGTTAAAAGTGGTGTAGTTACTGCTGATGTTGAAGCCTGTGCTAATGCTGCTTTTTGATTATTTTTTTCTTACTCTATGTACAAGTGTTAGCTGCTTTCCTTGACACAGTCCACACAGTATAGCAGCCCGATGTCGAACTGTTTTGGCAGAGTATAATATGTCCTGTGATGATGTAAGTGTTAGTAGTGCGTTCCATAAACCTTGTTTTTAAAAAATTGCAAATAATTCAAAAAGGCACACAAATTTTTTTTTTTTATATTCTCCTGAACAGCACTAGTGTACACCTTAACAAATTATGTGTCTCTCAAACTGGAATGTAGAATACTTAGTATTGTTCTGTGTTCAGTTTTAAACATAGCCTGTAAAATTGAACTTGAAATGCAGTTTTGCAGCTAAACTTTCTTTTTTTTTCCTTCTATCTTGCAGACTGGAAAATTAATTTTGAAACCTAGGCCTCATGTTCAATAAGGGCTGTCTTCCTTCAGTTTTTTCCACTGCCATGGAAACCAAAAATGACCTTTTTTAAGGTAGTATGACAGCAAACAAACAAACAGGACTGGTTGTCACTGCCTGGGAATGAAAGTCTTACACAGTTGACAGTGAAAGTGTGCAATATTACTTTCTTGAATATTTATCCAAATTCTTTGTTACCATATTATCAGTGCTTTTGCTACTTCTGATTACCTCTTTTTCAGTATTAGTGTCACTTTTTTACTTCGGCTAGAACAGAACATACAGGTGACATATGTTAATCGGTGATGAAGTTGAACTTGAAAATCAAACCTCATTTGTGTTACGTGTCTTTGTAAGCTGTTGTAAATAGCAGATCCATGTCAATGTTGAGGAAACGTACTATTTGCTATATGGGGTTTTTTTTGTTGTTGCAGTTCTCATGAACAGTATTGAAAAGAATGCTTACCATTCCCGTGATGTTTTATTGGCACACTTACTCATTACAGCTGTCCTTGTCTCCTGGTCGCTCTTGTTGGAACTGGTTAAAAGGCCTGGAGAGAGACTCTCTGTGCTGGAGGAAACTGGCCTTACGGTTTAAGGACTTTGCAAATGTACTGAGGATCACATTTGTCAGATTGTATATATAGTGCACCAGCCACTTTCATCGTGGTCATACGTAGCTCCTCGTTTGATCTGGTTCACAACACTGCTATTTTAAGATTTTAATATTTTAAAAAATTGTCTTAAATATGCTTGTATCTTTCCGATTGTAAAGTTGTACCGTATCTGAAGTCCACATGGCCATTCTGCGTGGATTCTTATGCTCTGATAGTCTGGATGTGAAACTAATATTGCAGATGTGTAACTTGAGGTTTGTTGAAGAAAATATAGAGTGCCACAATAAAATTAACCAAGTTTGTTATTCAGAGTGTTAAAAACAAGGTGTGGATGTTATATGCATATAAAGCGAAACTTTTGAAGAGCTAAAATTGTAGAGAGTTTTAAGAGTTTAAGTTGTTCAAGGTGCCTTTTTAATTGTTTCAAACTCTTTTAATTGACTGAAACTGCGAAGCTGTTGCAACTTCAGTAGCTCCTACTACACGGTAGCCAGGCTTTCAGACGCAGCCTATGGATGTAACTTTGTCAGTTGAGGCATTAAGAATTGTCTCCTGTAACTCTTCCAGTAAGTCTTCTGCCCACCCGTTATTTTTAACTGCTGTATATTTTGTAGGTAAATGTATATAAAATAAATTCTTTCTATAAACAGATGTCATCTTCTTTCGTGCTGTGCACATGCAGCTTTGAACTGAGGGCAGAGGGACTGGGTGGGCTGTAATAGCTGAAGCCTGTAACCCCCGTCCCAGAGAACGGTTTCCCGGGCTGGCCGTGCCGTGCTGCTAGTTCTCCGCCGCACCGG